TATGGGTTTATGTTAGTGTTTTTATTTCGGCTTCCTTGGTCTACATTTCATATTTTGTGTCAATACCCAGCCGTTTTCAGACTATAGCTCTACAATAGAGATTAAAGTCATGGATGGTATTGCTACTGGAAGTTCCTTTATGGTACATGGTTGTTTTCGCTATCCTGGGTCTTTTGTTTTCTCATATATATTTGCTTATTGTTCTATCAAGGTGTGTGAAGTATTGTGCCAGCAATTTGATGGGAATTGTGTTGAATCTGTAGACTGCTTTTGACAGGATTGCCATTTATACTACATTGATCCTACATATCCAAGAGCATGGGACCTTTCCAAATTTTTGGTATCTTCTTTAATTTCTTAGAAGACTCAAAGTTCTTGGTAAACAGTTCCTTCACATTTTAGTTAGAGTTATCTCTAGATATTTCATGTTGTTTGGGGCTATTGTAAAGGGTGATGTTTTTTGTGATTTCTTTCTCAGCCCATTTATCATCTGTATATAATATGGCTCCTGATTTTCTTAAGCTAATCTTCTATCCTGCTACTTTGATGAAGGTGTTTATCAGCTGTAGGAATTCCCATGTAGAAATTTTCTGGTCCCTTATGTAAACTATCATATCATATGCAAATAGTGAATGTTTGACTTTTTCCTTTCCAATTTGCATCCCCTTTATCTCCTTTTGTTGTCTGATTGCTATAGCTAAAAGTTCAAATACAACTTTGAAGAGATATGGGGAGAGTTGTCAGCTTTGTGCTGTTCCAGATTTTAGAGAAATTGCATTGATGTTCTCTCCATTTAGTTTGATGTTAGCAGACAGCCAAATGCAAACATTACTAACTAGCACTTAAGAATGCCTGTACCCAACTTCCTTGTATCACGACAAGCTATCATATATCTCTGCATATCTAGTGGAGCATCTCTTGATATCTCACTCATATTTTAGTGGCTATTAGTATTTTATGGTTTTATAGAGAAGGGTCAGTCAGTTATCTTCAGATGCTTTTGCTCTCACAAGCTATCCATGGTCCAGTAGATTTCTTCATATCACCGTATGAACTGGAACCCTAAAATGGGTTTTATAACACTTTATATGTTGGACTCCACTACTTAGTATTTTAATTAGTATTTCTTTTGTAATGGTCTTCATTAAGGAGTAGTATTTTTTGTGTGGTGGGATGTGTATAAATAACCTTGGGTATAACAAATGGTTATAATTTTAGAAACTATGTTAATAATTTAATAAATTTAAGGTAAAAGATTCCTTCCAATAATCGTTCCTTGTTAACTTGGTTTATGAGGTTTCCAGTAAAAAATATGATATTCCTCTTGTTGAGCAGGTCTTGCATATAATTAGAGAGATGTTGGGTATGTTCAGGTATGTATGCCAATATTGCACCTTTAAGGTTATTTGTATGCTGTTCTTTAATGTTATTTATAATTATCAGTGCTGTGTAATGGTGCTGTCTGCATTCCTCTGTTATATGCATGCACAGTCCTGACATATACATCTAGAAAACACGCCAACACCCAATGCTTAGGCAATTTTTAAACACAGGAAGCAGCAAAACTCTAAGAGTTAGATGTTAAGGGTGTTTGATATGAAATTTTGTCTTTTAGTAATGTAAGATGCCTGGCAATAGATTATCAGCAACATGCCTGACAAAAATCCTCTGTATAAAAATGACACAGATAAACATGCCATACTGAAGTTATAAAAGCCTACAATAACTCAAATTTCAACATAGTACTACATAGTTGTGGAAATCTGGGAAAGATTGATGACAGTTTTAGTGATAAGTATACCAACTGATTGACTACTATCCAAGGCCTGATTTAACATAAAAATCAAGTAATATTTAAGAATATATCTGTACTTATACATATTTATGCATCAAATTGCAATCATTATAAAACAAATTCAGTCATCTTTGATGGAGAGTCTATAGTGGTTGTATTGGAGGACCTGAAGGAGGAAATGTAACGGAGAAATGTAGTTAAGTTATAGTTTCAAAAATAAAATGAAAGGAAATAGACCGTATATTCTTATACATGCAGACACTCTCACATGTATATACTTAGAAACATATGTGTGTGTATAAACTCATCCATGCCCACAAGCACAGGCACAGATATGAATAGAAGAGAGTCCTCAAATTTAGCATAGAATAATGTTAATGAGTATATGAGAGTAATTTTAGATTAAGGTGTGCACACAGGGTTTATTCAGATATACAACATTTATATTTTTTAAATAAAATATTGTTAAGAAATGAAGGCACCAGAGAATGGTTAGTAAACTGGGTCCTGTTTAAGTTACCCAAATACACATACTGGCTCACACCTCACATCAGAATTTCATGTGCACACGAACAAATACACACACACACAACACACACACACACACACACACACACACACACACATACCACACATATAGGCATACCTACACACAAAGAGCAGAGTTCTCAGTGGTAGCATAGAATAACTTTAGTAGGTAATTTGAGGGATTTTATAATAAGCTCTGGAGATTGGATTTTTACAAATAGGCAGTTAATGATGATAGTCAATGCTATAGGGAATACAATATATTTATTTACCAGAGAGTAAACCACACAACCAGGGAGTCAGAAGCATGGCCGGCTTCCAAAAGAGGAGGTCCTTTTTACTTTCACTTCCTTTCATCTCTACTTGTGCTACGTCTCATATTCCTGCCTCATGGGCAGATAACTTTGTGGGGTTCACTCCTACAGGCAGCATTCAAAACTTTATGTTAACTAAAACATGTTTAAAAATTGAAAGCTCTAGAGAAGCGTTTTTAGAATTTATCCTCTGTATGATACCGCCTTTAACATGTGTGTTCTATACCCACATCCAAACGGCATGTGCACATCTATCCACAATCCAAGGGAGAGAGATAAAAAGCTAATACCATTATTATTACTAGTATAGCTTCTTACAACAATAATACTAAAAAAACACTATACGGTAAAAGAAGCAAATAACAACCAAGAATGTAATAGAAATGGAAATAAAAGCACAAGAATACCATACATGTTACACATACTAATTCACAGTCACAGATATCTCAGAATAACATAAAATCAGAAAGCATAATACATAGACGAAGTAATTGTAGGATTAAATAAAAAGATAAAGAATGTGTAAAAATGCCACTGAGTGATTTTTGTATTGGTCATTCTAATCAGAATTCATCCTTTAAGGGAGGTGTGTATATTCAGTGTGACTTCAATGGAGAAATCTAATTTGCTTTTGTTTTTAGTTATCAGTTATGGATTGTTTCTTTCTTTTTTTTTAAAGTTATAATATTTTCTTTATTATGGCTGAAGCTTTATTGAAAAATACCATTTGACCCTACTTTTCTTTTTTTTTCTTAGCTGTTTATTGTCCTATGTATCTTTTCTTTGTTGTTGTTTCTGTTTGTTGTGTTTATTTATAGTCATTTTCATTCTTATTTAAATATGAAACAAGGTTCCTTCATTTGTCAATCCCAGCTCCCTCTCCCTCCTCTTCTCCCATACCCTTCCACCAAACCCCCATGCCTCCTCCCTCTGATCCAGACCTGCAAATATGGGTGTCAGTGAGGAGGCTTAGGTAATTTATTGGGCTTTGTGTAGTATTTAACACTGGCATACAAATGAACTTTGTGTGCTCATCCCACAATGAGAGATGGTCTCTCAGACTGGACGCTTGGGGGAGGGCCTAGGCCCTGCCCTGGATGAAATGACAGACTCTGGACACCTCCATGGAAGGCCTCACCCTCCCTGGGGAAGGCAGTGGGGATTGTGCTAGGCATCTTAAGACAGATTCTGTATTCTTAGTTCCTGCGGTAATTTTCCTTCGAAGTTCTTGATTTTACTCTTATGAGGGATCATAGTGTCTTTTTTCACTGATCTTATTTCTTGACACTACTCTTCCACCTTAGCCACAATTCTCAGCCTCTTACTGGCCTGTCCTAAACACCTGACATGACTCCAGAATCGAACAACTATTATTATGTTTGTGGCAGAATTTCCTGGTACATATCTACATATCATAACATACATCTGCCTATCCTAATTATGTTTGGGATTGGGGACACTTTTCTTTCATTCACATAAGTCAGTCCTTGAGGGATTTTTGCCTCTCCTTGAGGAAAATCCACCTATTTTCTATGCAAGCACTACTTGTTACAACCTTGAATCCCTAGCTTTATTGTTGTTGTAGTGAAATGTAATAGCGAATGTGGATAGGAAAATCATATCAAGAATGTGTGTGGATGGATAAGCTAAAAGCTATGGCCTGTATGCAGACTGTATCATATTTCTTAACTTTGCTGGCAGAATCATAAAGAAACAGTTTTTAGGCTGGGACTAGAATTCATTACAAGACAGGTGTGAAGTTCACATAGCCTGAAGCTGTCTCTAGGATTGACATAGACACTACACATTTTGGTACAATAAATTCAATATAAAAGTCAGCTAATGGAAACCTTGGCTGATTGACCACCCTGTCGATTTACTGTGTGTTGTATTGAGCAGACAGTTATAAGTGATTCCTTGGACTTCTTTAAATTACTGTGATTTAAACAAGAATATTTTAAGTCATACAACTGATGACACAGGGAGTTTGCCTGTGACAGTTTCGAACGATCATCCTATGTAGGATTAGTTAATGTTTTCCTGTATATAAAGAAATGCAAGCAAGGTATGGAGACTATTACTGAATTCCACAGCCTATTCCTCCTATCTATTTTATGCAACTATGCTAAATGTCAACAGATACTCAGATTGGCACTTGTGTACATAGGGTGGGAAAAATGAGGTAATGCTGACTCTGTCTATGCCAGTACATGAATGCAATCATTTCTGTTAGGAAAGACACTACAGTACATATACCGTGTTATTCCTATATGCCAGAAGAGTGCACCAAATTGAATTATAGGTGGTTGTGATTCACCATGTGGTTGCTGGGAATTGAACTCAGTATACCGGGAAGAGCAGCCAGTGCTCTTAACATCTGAGCCATCTCTCCAGCCCCATGGAATTTCCCATGAACGTGGTACAGACCTCAATGAACCTCTGTCTAATGAAGATGGAAATCTCCTCTCTGTGGCCTACAAGAATGTAGTTGGTGTCAGGCGATCTTCTTGGAGGTTCATTAGTACCTTTGAGCAGAAAACCATGGCAGATGGAAATGAAAAGTAACTGGAGAAAGTTCAATCTTACCGGGAGATGATTGAGAAGGAGCTGGAGACAGTTTGCAATGATATCTTGGCTCTGCTTGACAAGTACCTCGTCAAGAACTGCAATGATTTTCAGTATGAGAGCAAGGTGTTCTACCTGTGAATGAAGGGTGATTACTACCGCTATTTGGCAGAGGTGTCTTCTGGAGAGAAGAAAAGCAGTGTGGTAGAAGCTTTTGAAGCTGCATATAAGGAAGCCTTCGAAATCAGCAAGGAGCACATGCAGCCAACACACCCCATTCAGCCTCGCCTGGCTCTCAGTTTTTCTGTGTTCTACTGTGAAATCCAGAATGCACTAGAGCAGGCCGGCCTCTTTGCCAAACAAGACATTGGTGATGTCATAGCTGAGATGGACTCATTAAATGAGGACTCATATAAGGACTCCACCCTCATCATGCAGTTGCTGCAAGACAACCTCACTCTCTGGATGAGCGACCAGCAGGATGAAGAAGCAGGAGGAGGCAACTGAAGTCCCTTCAAGTCTCTGCCCCTTCCTTCACCCACCACCCCATCATCACTGATTCTTCCTTGACACAATCACTATGTCTAGTGCTAAATCTATCTGCATTGGCAGCATAACTATTCAGATCTTCCCTCCTGACCCTTGGGAAGCAGTTTCAGATAAACCTTCATGGACATTTGCTGCACAGATGGTTGCTTTGAGCCACAAGGCATTAATTTTTGAGTTGTGCAGAGATGTGTGTTCTGAGTGAGGCATGTTAATATGTCTGTTGAGCTATGGCAAATCCAGGTGATGGTACTGAGTGTAGCAAGGAGAATTAGACAAGACAGTGTTTGACTGCTATTTAAAACAAGCTGATAGTGTTCTGTTAAGCAGGACATCTGTGCATGCAAAAATGAATTCGACCTTCTCACCCCTTCCTTCATCTAATGGAACCTGACACAGAAACAACTTGTTCCTTCACCATCGGCTTTATAAACTGTTTAATGTGAGCTTTCAGCAGCCCTTGCTGTGCCTCTTTACATTATGGCTTGAGCACAACTTCTTTTCAATGCAGTGCATCAGAAGTTTTGCTAACTTTTTTTGATGTGATTAAGAATCATGGATTTATTTTTTTGTAACTCTCTGAATATTGTTCTTTTAATCCTGAAATCATTATGTGTGTCAACCTGCTCAATCATGATGGGTGGTTATGAAATGCCAGACTTCTAAAATAAATGTTTTGGACTTAAAAAGTACATAAAAAGAAAGCAAGTGATTTACTAAAATGTAGTCACCACATGAGTCCTGCATTTAGCACAATTTAATACCTACTTGAAAGCATTTACCCACAGGTATTATTTAGGGTCAGATATGTGAGATATCGTAATAAAAATAATTCAACACACAAAACTATTAGCAAGTTTAAAAAGAAAAAAACAAATGAGTTTTTTTCATAGACTGACTTGTACATCTGTGCCACAAGGTGGCAAACAAGATCAGTCTTAGGACTGTGGAAGCCTAGAAAATGAGAAGTATGCCTATTATTCATTTTGAGACATAGAATGCATAAACTGTTGTAATTCAATGTACATTATTTTCTGAAGGAATGGCTCTTGTAGCCATTACTGTTACCAGTACTTCAACTGTGAAATTCCTAGGGAAGTCAGAAGTTAAAGTTCAGTAGAGATGCACTAAGTACTTCTGAGTGAACTAAGTATGAATATAGTCATGTAGGATGCACAATTGATTGGGTTGATAGTGCTGTGTTCACAACAAGGGTTTGAGACTACCATGGACATTTAGTGGCTATGTTGAGCATTATATTCAGCAAGGCCTACAAAAGACTAAATGTCGTTTTCATTTTTAAGTGACATGGACTAGCATGTAAAGCTTGTCAATAAAGTGTTATTGTATCTTGGAGGATATGAAAAAACGTATAAGCAATGCAAGAAGTCTACCTTGTGGTGTTATGATTTGTGTTGATTCGGAACCCCTATGGAAAAAAATACTGAAACAAAGCATTATTCTGTGGTCAAGATCTACTGGGAGGCTTGCAACACTCATTAGAACTTCACAGAGAGCATATATGATTGAGCAATGTAGGTTAAGACAATCAAGGCTATTCTAGATGTGGACAATTATGATTCCAGATTAATATCATTGTTCCTGTCTTCTGTGAAAAAGTATGATGGTAAGAGTACGATCTCCACAGCCTGAGCTTTAAACAACAGCAAGGTTTGGTGGACAGAGAGGGTACATAGGTGAAACTAGTCACAAGGCCAGCAAGTAGGCTCTCTGATGACTCTGTAATGACGAAAATAGTCAGGACCATAAGTTTTAGTGAGTTCTGGGCATGTAGATGTTATATTTTAGTGAGAAAACTCTGCTAATTAGATTATTTTTATGTACTCTTACAGGTGTTTGCTCAAAGGTATGCAATCAGTTCCTTTCTGAGATGTAGTTTCTATAGTAACCTCTAGTATGACTTGTATAGCTTAGAAAGGTAGTTCTTCAGGGTAATATGGAAGGTGTAAATGCATGCTGCTTTTCGAAAACATGAGATCAGTAGTAAGCATTGCAGTGTAGGGAAGTGGTGGACATTGTGATGGGAAATTGTTTCATGGAGTTTATCTGAATGTATAGTTTGCAGCATTTTATTATAGTTCGTCATGGTATCATATTTACATAATTATATGAGAATTGAAGTGTTAACAATTCATTTTGGAAAACAGTTGTGGTGTATGCCTTTCAACACAGGAATGTGGAGGCAGAGGCAGTAAGAGATCTGAGTTTGAGTCTAGCCTGCTATTCATGGTTAGTTCCAGAAAAGCAGGGCCCCACAGAGAAACCCTGTTATGACTCTCCAGAAAATAAAAGTAAAAAGTAAAGAAAAAAGGGAATTTATTATGTCATATTTTCTTAATCGCTTTTATTAATTGTAATTCAAAAATGAGAAGTTGATTGAATTATATATAAATGATGGATTAACATTACAAAATACTACCTGTAATTTGTGCACATCTGCTACCAGTTTGATGGATTTCTCTATTCAGACATCAAATTTCAGCGAGAATCATACTCTTATTTCCTTGCCTAATTTTCAATCTGAGGTGAGTTAAGTAATAATTTGATAGAAAAGAATTGGATGTGGTCATTCAGCCCCATAATTTTCCTTACGTGACCCACCTTAGTGGATTTTCTCTTTACTGTGTTTAATGTGAATTCAAGCATTTACTTTTGGGAGATATTTCCTGGACTAGGGGCTCTGCATTCATTGCACTACTAAAGAATCTCATGAACTTCCAAAATTGCTTTAAATATGTATATTAAAAATGAGTATCATGGGGGTGGTGTCTATTCGTTGGAGCTGCTGGCACTCAAAGCAGGGAATATATAGTTGTGTCCCAGTCCCAAGTTATTGCCCCTGCTGGTTTAAGCATTTTGGCGATGCATGTGCCGGAATTCCATTTATAACCTAGATAAGCTTTCTGGTTCACCAAGCAGAAATATAGACCAATTTCCTTTTAATTTTATGGATGCCCTGTCCTGACTGAATGGACATTATTTATCCTGTTTCTATAGGTAAAGATAAATAACAGGAAACAATGCCAAAGTGCAATTTATATTATTGTATTTAAAAATTATTAAGTTTTTAGATCATAATTAACACTTATGTTTCTTCTTATAAATCTTGCTATGCATTCTTCCAAACTCTCTTTAAATTAATGGCCTTTTAATCATGAATTGATGTTGCACATATGAAACTATATTAATGTGAATATATATTTCTAAATAAATAAGTACCCTCTGCTATGTCTGTGTAATGTTAATTTTTTATGTTTTCAGAGCTGACCACTGAATCTCCCTTCCACTGCCCAGGGAGGGTAAGGCCTTCCATGTGGGATTTTCAGAGTTTGTCACATAACACCTGGGCAGCCTAGGTCCTTGTGCAGGCTGAGGGCATCCCTGCATGTAGAACCAGCTCCCAGGGTTCATTTGTATGATAGGAATAAATGCTGATCTATTCTCAAAAGTCCCATAAGCTTCAGGGGCATCTCCCTGACACCGAGGTTCTGGATGTGGGCGTGAGTGGATCAGTACCATGCTGGTCTCCCAGGCATAAGTTTGGGTCCATGCATTCCCCCTAGTTTATATCTGCTTGATCTCGGTTTTTTGACAGCCTGGTCTTGATTCCTTTGCTCATCACTCCTCTTTGCAACTGGGTTCCAAGGATTCAGTTGATGTTTAGCTGTGGGTATCTGTCATCCACTGGATGAGGATTCTAGGATGGCATCTATGGGTAACACAATTTATTTATTTTTTAAATTTCCTGAATTAGTTATATTTTCTTCAATATTCTTTGTTCTATCTCACATGAAAGAAAATATATAGTCATCTCAGCATTCACACAGTCACTTTCTTGTCTAAAATCCACATGAAGCTCCATCTGGCATCCATGTACCTCAAATTTTCAGAAGTATATTCTTCAGTTATTCATTTGATAACAGGCCTCTTGTTATTATTTTTCTACTTTCTGGAAAATTAGGAAATTTTCATTTCTCCAGCATCATGTAGCAGATTAGGAATTTCTTGGAGACCCAATGAGGTAGCCCATCCACCAGAGGGTGTATAGAGGAACTTTGTCTCCTTTGCAATAAAATCTTTGTTGCTCATCTTAGGAAATACTGCTTTTGTTACTAATTCAGAGGTAAATTTAAGATATAGGATCTTTTTATAGCTAAAAATTGTATTCGTGGTATATGATCTGTGCTTTTATTAACTATATTCAAATCGTTGACATCATAATGTAGTTGCTACAGTTTTTTTCCATTTCTTTTTTCTTTGCATATGACACTCCCAATTACTTTTATATTGATGGTCTATTTTACTGTTCTCCATCCCTCTGTCTTTCTCTCTCTCTGCCTCCCTCCCTCCATCCTGCATCCCTCATCCCCCTCTCTCTCCTACACACATACACACACACACACCTAAATATGTAAATAGAGAAATCAACCGTATATGTTATATATGGGAAAAATTCTGGTAACTTTCATCTATTTATTAGAGAATGGTTGAGAAAATTTTTACTTAGTTAATCCATGGTCAATTCATAAGTTGAGTTAAATTATTAACTGAATATGTTATTTTTGAACCCATAATTTATCTCAAATAATTATGTATTCATGCGTGTGTGTGAGTTTGTGTATGTATTCAATGTCTTATCATAGTAGGTTTTTGAAAACAGGAAGTGAATAGAACACTCTTATCTTGTTCTTAATTTCTGACCATTTTATCAGTACAGAGTACCTTTTGGTTCTGTTTATATTTTAGGATATTGTTGATCATTTCAAGTAAAGAATGACACACATGTAAAGCTGTATTACCACTCTACCACATCCCTACAATGCTTGTAAATGCTACATTCATAACAATATTATGACTTACTCTTTGTCTAGGAATGTGGGATCTTGTAACACTTGTGTAGAATGCTTCTTTAATTGTACATGATTTGCAGCTTCTCACTA